TCTTCATCTGATCTCAGTCTGATCCCCGTCTCATCTTCATCTGATCTCAGTCTGATCCCTGTCTCATATTCATCTGATCTCAGTCTGATCTGTCTCATCTTCCTCTGATCTCAGTCTGATCTGTCTCATCTGCATCTGATCTCAGTCTGATCCCCGTCTCATCTTCATCTGATCTCAGTCTGATCTGATCTCAGTCTGTGGTCTCGTCACAGGTCTCGTCTTCATCTGATCTCAGTCTGATCCCCGTCTCATCTTCATCTGATCTCAGTCTGATCTGATCTCAGTCTGTGGTCTCGTCACAGGTCTCGTCTTCATCTGATCTCAGTCTGATCCCCGTCTCATCTTCATCTGATCTCAGTCTGATCTGATCTCAGTCTGTGGTCTCGTCACAGGTCTCGTCTTCATCTGATCTCAGTCTGATCCCCGTCTCATCTTCATCTGATCTCAGTCTGATCTGATCTCAGTCTGTGGTCTCGTCACAGGTCTCGTCTTCATCTGATCTCAGTCTGATCCCCGTCTCATCTTCATCTGATCTCAGTCTGATCTGATCTCAGTCTGTGGTCTCGTCACAGGTCTCGTCTTCATCTGATCTCAGTCTGATCCCCGTCTCATCTTCATCTGATCTCAGTCTGATCTGATCTCAGTCTGTGGTCTCGTCACAGGTCTCGTCTTCATCTGATCTCAGTCTGATCCCCGTCTCATCTTCATCTGATCTCAGTCTGATCTGATCTCAGTCTGTGGTCTCGTCACAGGTCTCGTCTTCATCTGATCTCAGTCTGATCCCCGTCTCATCTTCATCTGATCTCAGTCTGATCTGATCTCAGTCTGTGGTCTCGTCACAGGTCTCGTCTTCATCTGATCTCAGTCTGATCCCCGTCTCATATTCATCTGATCTCAGTCTGATCTCCTCACTCCTCACTAGCTGCTGCTGTCTGTGTTTCAGAGCATGAGACTGAAGCTGATCAGATGAAGATGAGACGGGGATCAGACTGAGATCAGATGAAGATGAGACAGA